TAGAGTTAACTATAGACCAGTAATGGTTAGAGTTAACTATAGACCAGTAATGGTTAGAGTACCAGTAATGGTTAGAGTTAACTATAGACCAGTAATGGTTAGAGTTAACTATAGACCAGTAATGGTTAGAGTACCAGTAATGGTTAGAGTTAACTATAGACCAGTAATGGTTAATTTTAGGGAAAATGTCTGGGTTCGACATAAATACAGTTACAAAGATGAATGGAAGTCAATACAAAGTCCCCAGTTTGATGCAAATACAAGGATGTGTTTGTGTGTGAGAGACAGCAGCATGTTTGGTACCATGTGTGTTTTTGTGTGTGTGCTCCTCTTTGATGTCACGTGATTCTTCATCATCATCATCATCATCATCATCATCATGTGGTGTAATAAATCTGTCCATATTTATAGAAAACATCTTGAAAATATAAGTTAAAAGGCCTCATCTGCACAAATAATCCTGATCCATATAAAGGTCCAGTTCTAGACCAGTTAGCCGGACTCATCCAGGTTCCAGTCTGAACCTGCAGACCTGAGTAACCAGGTGAAGACCTGCTGGACTCACCGCCAGAGACAAGGTGAGGAGCTCAGAGTCGCTCCTCCTCATCATCAACAGGAGCCAGCCGAGGCTGACGACTCCTTCTGGACTCCTTCAAGGGAGGTGCTTCAGACATGTCCCACCAGGAGGAGACCCTGGACTCTGGAGAGAATACTGCATCTGTTGCCATAGCAACAAGGTCTCAGACGAGCAGCAGAGGGAAGATGGATGGAACCGGTCCAGTCCTCGCTGCTTGTCTCCTTTCCTTGTTTCCTTTTCTCATGCGAGTCACGTGACCTCATGCCTCATGTGTGACATCAGCACACAGTTCTACCCTGGTCCAATCATGTGGTCACACCACGGTCATGTGACCTTCACCTCAGGTGTGATTACATAACTCATCTTCAGTTTGATGTGAAATTAATTCATTATTAATGAGAGTTGTTTTCTGTCTGGTTCTGGTTCTGAACGATGTCATGAAGCTGAGAAACATAAAGAGCTTAATTTAGACTATTGTATTATATTATACTATGTTATGTTACTTATATTATAT